GGACATAGTCAGCGGCAAACATTTTTTGTCTTTTATATAATATATAATATACAGAAAGATAGACGGATAGATAATATATAAACTCATGCATCCAGAAACACCTCTGTATACGCCGGAGTTGATTTTTTTTTTATTATTTCTGCACAAGTTAGTTATTAGTTACTATAGTAGAAAAATGTAAGACAATTAACAAAAAACCCAATTAGCCACACAAATATTAGTATGTTAAAAAATATATAAAAAACCCCCCAAGAGGACACCGCTTGCAGCTCGACATAATAATATATCATAAAATTCTATATTATATTACTATGTATAACAACTATTATTATATAGATGGTCAAAATATTAACGGTTTTGTCATTGAAGCAAATAATCCGGTTAGGTTTTTAAATCAAATTAAACTTTTGAAAATATCGTAATGTTTTTATATAATTTATATTATACGACGTTACATATTATCTTATTATTATTACAAGACGTTTATTTTTTGGTTATCGACTGTATTTTTTGTGTACGCATCGATGAAGTAATTTTTTGTTTCATCGTCAGGGGGGCAGAGATTTTGGCCCAAAGTAGAAACCTGAACATAAGTGCACAACTCAATTAGGTATTTACGTCTCAACACTAATTATCTAAGAATACTATTATAGGTACTATAGAAATTAAGTCATCAATCAGGTAGCTTATAGATGGAAAAAAAACATTAAATTACAATTCTTGAAACAAAAAACTATTCATAATAACACGCATTATTTATTGTTATTTGTTATAATGGTAATAAATTACTGTTCACTGTAAAATATATATATAGCCTATATAGTCTATAATACCTATGTCAATAAATTATGAATAAAAAAATACAGCTGGGTGGGTAATTGATGGGCTTTTATTTATTTTTATTTTTATCAACTCAAAATTAAATATTTCTCTATTCGATATTTAGTAGGTACTTGTCTTTTTGATACAATTTTGCTTATAATTGATTTTGAATGAAAAAATGTACATGCATTATCAGGCAGATAAACAGAATTTCCAAAAATGTAGAATGTAGGTGTTAACTGACTGTAGCAAAACTGTTGAACTTACTTTGTTGCTTATTAAATACCTAACTAAATAGTAATAGCCAACTAAATAGTAATAGCCACTAAAAGGTTAACTGAAAAACGTTTTTCGGGTCTCCCACCAGTCCCATTCTTTAATACAAAAAAAAAGTAATTCAAATAATATTCCAAATTTCCAAAATGTCCTTGTTTCACAATCTCGGGTATTATAATGCACACTTATAGTCCTAAACACAGTATTTTTCACCATCACGATTGTGCTAAACGACAGTTGATAGTTAATACAGTATAATATATAATTTATTCAGTTATATAATAGTGTTGTATACATAATGATATTTTATTGACGCATTGGGACGCGATTGGGTTATTTGTTATTCCGTTTCGACAACCATGGCTTATATTAAGCCATGATTGTTGCCACACCTCTTGCAAGGGCCAAATCGAGCTGCGAAAATATCATCTCGCAGTGATTAAAACATTACGGTAGGTAAACCTAACATTTACATGCAGTTACACCCTGAAAAAAATATGTCTTTATCACGTGGCACCCGCATACCATGCGTATGATCGTAAAAATAACAATCTCAATAATAATAATAATCATTATCACCGTTATACGGTTGTCCTGGCTGACCGCGTACAGCACGAAACCCTGTTTGGTGGGGCACACCAACGCGCCCGGTCCGCCGCCGCTTCTGCGTTCCGCTGAGATCGGATCCGCCTCCGTCGTGACGACCATTTCCGGTTCCGGTGCGCCGGGCTGCACTCGATAGACGTTCGCCGACGAGTCGCAGAACACGTACCATCCGTACGGTGTCCAGCAGCCCGATGGGGAGGCGTCCGAGGGCACCTCCACCCGAGTCCTCTCAGCGTACACCGTCTTGCAGCCCACGAACAACGTCCACAGCTGGAGCTTACACCCGACGTCGTGTTCCGTCTGGCTCAGGTACACGTCGTTTCGGCCCGTCGCGGCGGTGATGGCCGACAAACTGCGTTTGATGTGACAAGACAACATAACAAAAATTATATTATAAATTATATTGTATTCGATTACGCGGGTCAGTGGCTTAAATTGAGCTAAACTGTCGGGGTTGCAATAAATTTCCATAGGTTGAAAAGACTTTCGAGGGACTTAGCTCCCCCCTAAAATGTTTTATTTTATTCTATATTAACCATTACAAGTACGTATACTTAACAAAACTATTTTAGCCTTAAAGGCTTAAACAGATATTGTCATATTGTATCTATTGGTAATTGGTATACATTATGAATATGCGCTATAAATAGGGTATAGCCGGTATAGGTATATAATAACTTACCGACTACCGTCAATAAAATATGAATAATTTTCTTAAAGAATACATGAATACATAAAATACAACAATTCTTTTATTTTATAAAATTTATAATTTAAATAACAGCCGCCATTTATATTTGTATAACATGTACTATTTATATTTATATTTGTATTTGTATGTTTAAATACATATTTATCACTTTTATAGTTTTATATTACACAAATTAACCAAAACATTTACTATTATTTATTTAACGTAGGTAACTAGTTACAGAATTTTCACTTTGAGTTAAGGTAGAAATATTTAACAAAATATCCTTAAATATTTAATGGTATTAAATTAATATAAATATAATTTCAACAAATTGTGTATAAATACTATATGATATGAAATTAATTATTACTTTATTTAGGTACCATTTTTGATCTTTTTCCTGGGGAATGGAGGTTTTCATAAGATAAGCTAACTTTTTCTCTGCATTTGTATTGGTATTTTTCTAATAATCAGGTACAACAATTAGTACCAAAATAATACAAAAAATATATACCAAAATAAATTTAATTTGCTCAATAATATAATATTACCTTAATAATTAATTTAAAAATTAACTTACAGATCAAATATAAATTGTTTAATTTTTCAAAACTGTAGCTTTAATATAATATAAATCAGTATTATATTTTAAGGGCTACTTTAAACTTAATGCATACTAAATATATATGTGTACTAAACAATTAAATTAATTTAAAGAAAAAATAGACACTTACTTTCGACTTTTTCGATATTTTTACAATAAATTTATCTATTTTGGCAAGTTGTCGAAACGATTATAATTTTGAATCGTTCGCGGATAAGAAATAAATACAAGTGTCAAAAATAAATGCATGTATAAAATAAACAAATAATAATTTTAAACTATGAAAAACGTTTTCACTATCAGCTGCCATTGAGTTGGCCGATGAGAATAAAATATAAATATACATATTGGTATAATAATAGAAAATGGTTGGTAACAAAACTAAATAAATGTGGAAAGGATATAATTTTATAATAATTTCAGTCTTTCAAAACAAAGTTTAACATTGGTTCTCAAAATATAAATTAGTTAATTTATTATTATATATTGATATTTCAATTTTTTAAAAACTGAAATCGTGATTTTTTGGAGACCCCGTGCGACCCTCAGTTTACGCCACTAACTCGGGTATAGACTCGAGATAGAATATTCATGTAGGTATAGACTTCGCACCTAACCCTATCCCATGACTTTGTTGTGTGTGTGTGGGGGAGGTCTAATATACTCAATTAATATTTTTTTTTTATTAGGAATCCCCACGAACAAGTACACATAGAGTTTACGTCTTTATGACTAATGTAGTACTATATAGTACCTAAAACTATACTAATAGTGATGTATGTAATATTTAAATCTAAATTTTACCAACTAACATAACTCATCCTATTTAATTATACACTTATTCATGTAAAGGCCAGCTTTTCAATATTGGGGTTGTTTATAGCTTAGGGTGGCCTAAATTAAAAACATTTTAGTCATACAAAACAATATAAAACGATTAAAACATTTTTAGATAAACGTACGCGTAGTACAATGGTATACTATTACACGTCATGCCTGTATAATTTTGAAAGTTTTAAAATATTACACGAGTGGAATGTCAAATCAATTAACATTCAATTATATATTGTGCAGGTAATAAAAATATAAATTTAGTATTAAATACATATAGGTACCTATAAAAGTCTTTACGCCTTTAAGTCTTAAAGCCAAATATGGAATATTGCTATTAATTACACTAGTAAACAGGACTTTTAATCAATGATTTAAAGATATATTTACATAATCGAAAGGTATTTAAAAATGTATACTATTATTTTAATTTGGATTAAGTCTTCAAACGACAATAACGCATTTATTCAAAATGTATTGTAAATGCATATTAGAAGTCAACAGTTGTTTATAATGTTTACTGTATTTATGTGCTCATAAAATATCTGTAAAATAACGTAATCGAACTCTTTAGTATTTTGCTTATTTATTCGGGAAAAAAAAATAATGATAATAAGTAATAATTAAAATTGGAACTATTTACATATTTTGTTATGGTTTTTTTTTTTTTTAAATATTGAATAAGCTCCAAGTAAAATACATTTATTTTGGAAAATAACAAATTTGTATTCATCATTTAATTTCTCATATTTTTTTATGTTAATGAAAATTTCATTCAGTTATATTATTAGTTATTACTTATTAGTATGATTCATAACCTTAAAGCGAAAAGGGTACAATAATTTATAATATTAACAACTTGTTTGCTTGAATTCAAAATGAATATAGGTGGGTATTTAATTGCATTTATTTAGTATATTTTTGTAATTATTAATAATAAATAATTATATGTTTTCGAATATTTTTTATTGCAATACTTGGTCACAAAGTCCAAACCCTATATAATATTGCCACACTATTATTATTATCATTATACGGAGGAAAAACCAATCAGTGTTGGATAGTATATAATATATATCATATATATATATATATATATATATATATATATATTATATATATTTTGTTTATTATGCCTGCGGCACACCAAGCAGACGAAGCATGCTTTTACTTTAGATATTGGTTCGGCTGAATGAATCCGGTGTCGACGACCAACAGTTTTTCTCCAATTCTCCACGCCCACACGATCAAATCGAATGCCGGGTAATCACGCAAGCCGATTAAATATTCCAACCTCAGAAACAGTATAGACTTGTATGGTACAGAGCAGCTACTATCTGAAATCCAATAAAATCCCCTTCAAAATAAAAAAAAAAAAGAATAGCTTATACAGAGTGATCCATTAAAACCACTTCAGTCTAAAATACCATACAGACAATTTATATGATTTAAAAAAAAAAACGGTCTGTTTGGTTTGTAGAAATTTTTTATATTATGGAACTAGCTGTAACTATATAAACATTTTTTCAAACACTTTTTCATCACAGCGGCTTTTATATTTTAGATTCTGAACGGAGCGATTGAATGTATTGATTTTACAATGACGTGTGTTTTTTTTTAATTTTAATTTGTTTTGTCTGTCATCACATATGTAGCAGTACAACTTTTCTATTTTCTTCAACAGCACCTATCTTGTTCAATGGGAAAATGAATCTATTTGGTGAATTCGGGAAGTTTATTTTTATAGCATGCCATATTAAAAGTTTTATAAATTATAATATATATATATATTCAATACTTACCAACAAGAGTCGCCAACACTTTCAGGTCAGGATATAAACAAATTACCACCTTGGATATTGGTGGGTGTTCAGCCAAAGCCAGTAAATCTGTATCACAGCAATCGACGCACCCAATACCTTCTAAATGTAGATCATCATCACCACCACCCCCCGGGGTCGATTTACTGCCTACTATTAGGATATCTTCTTTTTGCGTATTCCCATCATAAAATATTAACGTTTTTCCAACGCGTATCAATAAAACGTCTTTGGACACGAATTTCATTTCACTAACACTCGTCGGTTTCAACCACCTGGAAAAATTAATTTTCTCGATCAAAAAAATTAGCAGGTACCTATCAGCTTTCGTAATTTTGGTTTTTCTGTTTCAAAAAAAAAAAAAAGAATAAGCTATTTAAAATATAACAACACATACAACATTGGCTTATTTCAAGGATTTCATTCACCAAATATTTAAAAATACCCACACAAAATTATTATTTCCTTTTGTTCAACTGGATTTTTGATCTTTTTTTATTTTTATTTTTATTTTTAGGAGAAAATATACAACCTATATCGTAGGAATAATAAGTATAATATATGGGTTAGGTTAAGTTAATCTATAACAATAGAACATGATTTAAATAATTTGAGGAAAGAAGCTACCCAGTGATGACACTTTAATTTGATTTAAATTTTTGGTCTTGAAATCAACTACCTACATATTTTTATATTGACATGTAAGACGTTTGTTACACAATATTATATAAGTTTCAAGGAGACTAAAAAAATGTTAACTATAATATTTAATATAAGCGCCCTGCAATAAGGTAGTAAAATATAAATTGTGAATGCCTGAAAATTTACGAATCGTGTTGAGTTTCAAACGGACCACAAAAAATGTAATTGTATGTAATATAATTACTTAAGTACCTAATAAGGTACCTACTGGCTACTACCTGATATTATATTAATATATAATGTATTGCCCGAAAATATACAAATCGTTGTTAAGTACAGTACCTACCTATATATTATATAATTATGTATAATGTATATATTGTTATTGTAGGTAAGTACAATAAATTATGTTTCTCTCAATATTAAATTTAACTCGAATCCAGATTTATACCTTGCGAATACACTTTTACTGGATACATTTGAACTTTCCTCCGTGATTTCTGGCTGATCCTTCGATTCTTCTTCACTTAATGATTTTAAAGTGATATTTTCTTTCGGTTCTTCTGTCATCTGTTCGCAAACAATATTTTAATAATATTATTATCTCGTATAATAACGGGTTTTTTTTTCTGTACGCTGACTGTATTATTATAATAAAATTATTTATAAAAATGTCTATAATAATTTGACATTTTTAGTTCAGTTCGATTCAAATACAACATATACTGTGCTATTATACAGGGTGTCCCGTGAGGATTTACCTATTAGCCGTAGAGGGGGACTCGCCGCCCGGACAAAAACTGGTTTTTTGCCGTTTTACTTATTAATTAAAAAAATTATTAAAAATCAGAAAATTAATGAAATTAAAATGTTGAAACGTCAATATTTTCAGAAAAATGAACTCTACAAAATGGCAATCTTCAATATTTTTTTAAATAATTAATTAAAAAAATAATTTTTTTAACTTTTTTACCAAAACATAAAAAAAAAATAAAAAATTAGTTATTTGTAGTGCTTACCTCTGTGAGTCTCAATAAGAAAACAGAATTACGATATCTCTATTATTTCAGGAGATATCGCAATGAGTAAATCCTCACGGGACACTCTGTATAATAAATATATTTTACTATTTTAGTCAAAGAAAAAAAATATTTTTAACTAATTAAATAATTATAATATAATATGATATGAATAATATTATTATCATGTAGTTTACACTATATAGGTATGAAAAACTACAATAAAAGTTCCCGTTTTAATTATTTAAATAATTAATTGTCGAGTATTATTGAATACAATATTATTCTGGCAGAACTATTACAGCCTATGGGTATAGGTTAGGTTAACACTGCATATTATTTTATTTATACATATGTTATGTCCTATGTGACATGTGTAATAGAGATAACATTATACATTTAACACTTTTACCCCAAATTAATTTCTCCAAGGAGTAATGTAACGCGTAATGGGGTTGTCGTATTCTGACTTCTGAGTGATGAGTCGTTTTCAGTATTAAATATGGATATCACGCATTCACGTACCTACAAATATACAAATTTATCATGTGTTCTGATGTTAACATTATTTTATAATATAATTAATCTTGAAATACTAAGTATGTAGGTAATACTCATAAATATATACTGTACAAGCACTATAAATTATATTATTATAGTGTATATAAACATATTATATACCAGACAATAGCCATAATATTGTATAAAATAATTAGGGATGGGACTTCGAAGCTCTAAAAAATGCGTTTAAAATGTATTTCTTCGAGCTTAAAAAGAAAAAAAGTAAATTATATTACAAATTAATCAATTATTTTTTTTTTTTCAAAAAGTAATGCTTCAATAATATTTATTAGGTGGTCTTCTGACTATGTATTAAATCTGAAAAAATAATTTTAAAATGTGTTATTAATGTTTAAAATCGCAGTCAAACTGAAATAGTGAAATGTATTATTGTCGTTGCTGGACAGTGGATTTTTGTAGACAAAAAACTTCTTTCTACATCTACATGTCTATGTAAATTAATCGGTATATTAAGATGTACCACATAAAGACGAGCAACGTGTTAAAATACCAGGAATAAAAATTACTACTCTTATTATTATACTTAAATATTAACACACTTATTGCTACTTGCCTTCCTACCTGACTACTATAATTATGTGAACACGTGTGAATGTTGAACTATTTTCAATATACAGTGGTCGCCGCTTATTGGACTCACTTTGGAACCCGACAATTTGAGTCAATTAACCGAATGAGTCAATAAGGCGAATGACTCAAAAAAATTTTAAGAATGCTTAAATTTAAAAAATTAAAAATTAAAAATATGTATTGAAATTCAAGGTATAAAAAATGTAAAAATCTAGCTATATAAAATAAAATAAAATTAATAAAATACATACATACATAATTAATAAAATTAACACGTACATATAAACGCAGACAACACACTGAACACGACGACGTCTATTCATACACTACCTGTCGTACTACATTGACGACTGCTTGGTTTATCGTGAAAAAGTAATTTATTTTATCTCCGCGATAAAAGGTACCGACTTATTTATAACACGTTTGTTCAATGTATGTACATATTTTCTTTATTTATCTAATTTTCAAATGACCCTATTAACCGGTGTGTGAGTCGAATAGACGAATTTTTTGCTGTGTGTTAGTATATGTGCGAATCGGGACCAACCGTTTTGAGTCTAATAAGCGAATGAGTCAATTAACCGTGAGTCCAATAAGCGGCGACCACTGTAGTTCGTTTATTTATGTAATAATCAAAGTTAAACTTACCATCAGATTGAATTGTTCAAGGATTATAATAATATTGATGTCGACTGTTTTAAATGTAATAGAAACATGTATCGATATCAATAATGTACTATCTTAACTAAACGATTTACCTATATTATGTGTTAAATATAAAATTATTGTATTTTTTTCTGACAGAAGTACAGGACGGGTAAGGTAACTAGGGAAACTGTTTGTTACTATAACGGCAGCATATCTGCTAGTGATATAAACATAAACAATTTTCGAAACCATTTTGATCAATACCTAACTATTACTTTTTTCCAAAACAAATTATAATCTATAAAAGTATTACAATATTGAATTGTAAAGGGTTTTCTACGACTGCTCTAACCAAGAAAACTACTGATCCGATTTGGCTGAAATTTTTTACTGTTATACCTGACAGTCTGCTGAAGGTTTTCGTACCACTTTTTTTAGTAAAAAATAAGTATAAAGTTTTTGAAAAATTAAAAAATAAAGCTAATTTAATCCTTTTATATATAAAAGAACAGGTCTTTTTTTGTGCCAATTTTTTTTTCCCAGAGTTATTCCAAATACCTTCCCGAGTGTCACCACGTCGCCCAGTTTTAATTTTTTTTGACAGAAGGGAGACGGGAATCTATATATTATATACCTATAACAATCTAAATACCACTGATCGCTGTATCTCAAAAACTACACAACGTACGAACTTGAAATTTGGAATAGTGGTTCTTCTAATACTAGTACCGTGCAATGAGAAAGTATATGCCAAAATTCGCATTTTAAAGAGGTGCTCAAACAGGGACATTGAGGTTCACATTGGAAATTTTATTTTTATTTATTAATAGTTCCCATTGGTAACAGTTAACAGTAGAAATTAGTGTTTATTTATTATCGGTTTCCATTGGTTATTTGGGCAGATCAGGTACAAGCTATGCATCAAATCGAATTTTTGAACATTGTCTACCAAAGTGATTGCCACTGATTGGTGAAAGAGTGGTCGGATTGCCTACCAGGGTGGCTGAGTTGCACTTACTGCAGGCTGTAGAAAGTTACACCCAAAAGTAATTGAAGAATCATAATTTTTTTAAGAGCTGCCATTTTTACGGACGACAAAGTCCTTGGGATCAGCTAGTATTATAATATATTTATATTTTATGTGTTATATCCTGATTCTTAACTATTGTTTATCAATTAAATAACATTTATTTAAATTGTATAGATTGTACATGGTGTAACTCTTAAGAAATAGGAAATTTGTACGAAGGCAAATTCTTTTTTTTAATCCGAATCAATATCATCTTATTGATTTTATAAAATGTTTGTATTTACGCGGTATTTTATACTTACTCAGAAATAATATAAATGTTGTTCTTTTACTATTGTAGTATTGTGAAATTTCAAGATGAAAAGAACGTAACAGTATTAATATATCAATTTTTAAAAATGTATACTTCAACACCACAATAATGTACTATTTTTTAAAATTTTTTTTTTTTATTAATCTGTTTATTGTAACAATTTACTGCTACTATAGTAGGAAACGGATGGTCAAGTTTATATATTTATTATATTCTCAGATTGTATCATTCTGTTATTATTCGTATAACTCATATTGTTGTAATACATCATATAATTGAACTCCGATTGAAGTTTATATTATTTTTTATTAGATAACATAGGCCATTGGGTGTGGGGAGGGAATATGGGGTTTTAGGTTGAGTAGGTTGGTACACGTATGTGTAGTGTTTCGGCAGAATTTCTGCCATGCCCCGGGGGACATGTCCGAAGAAAAATGCCGCCCGCAGCCGAGGTATCGAACCGGCGTCGGCTGCTTCGCGGCCGACGCCTTAGTGTGCTCGGCCACTCCGTCCTCCAATTTATATTATATTTATTGTTCAGAACGACAACGTAATGGATGACATAAGACGTATCTATACAATTGCGTAAAAACAAAAAATAAAAACATTTTCTATTTTTTTTAATTATAATTTTGAAGTAGGTTTCTATGGTACACCACATAAAGGCATTCAGCTATCAGATATTTTTAAACACACTATATATTTTGTTCATTAATATGTCATCTATATTCAAACATTTTCATTCACTTGTATAATATACTATATAGGTATACCACACCTAGGAGATGAACAACGACAATTATGTGGATCTCTCAATCAATTTACATGTCAGACCCTTTATAATAGCGTCACATTTAGTATTTGTTAAGCAAGGAGACGTGTGCACTGTGACACTCTGTGACATTTTGCGTTGGCCGGAGGGTGTCAAATTTTTTTTATGATTCATCACTGTATTTTGAATTTTTATTTAATTTAAAATAACCTATATAATACCTTCATTATTTTTATTTAATTTTCTTACATTAATTTGATTTTATTCAAAACATAATTAAAAACAAAGTTAAAAATAATAATAATATAATTTTATTATGTAATATTATTATGTAGGTTCATATTATATTTAGTTATTTATAATGAATACATTTTTAAATCTTTAATATTTTTTAGGTGTGGTTTCTGCCGATTTGGTATTTTATTTATTATTATTATTATTTTTTGTTGTACTGCCATCCATTACACGACCGAGGGCAGGGGCGGACTGGCCAGGTGTGCTAGTGTGCCGTAGCACACCGGGCCGGCTTATATGTGTGGGCCGGGCCGCCGCGGCTTTTGAAATGTTGAACATTTCACGATATTATTAATACATTTATTTAAATTTATTTTCAAACAGTTTAAAAACCACTGTTAT